ATGAATTACTAGGTCAAAATCTGAAGTAAACACAGTGGTCGAACTGACTTCTAATGAAACTTATGCGTGCCATGAACTTGTCAAATCTCCTATTCCACTTTCGAGGAGATTTTTCAGTCCATATAAATATCTATTCAATTTGCACACATAATTTTCCTTCCCTTTTTCGACATACCCTTCAGTTTGCCTCATAAGGATTGTTTCATCTAGATCACCATACAAAAACGCATTCTTCACATTCATTTGTTCCAGTTCAAGGTCGAACTGTGCCACTATGGCAAGCAACACTCGAATAGATATGTGCTTCACAACAAGAGATAACACATCATTAAAGTCGACACTTTCTTTCTGAGTGAACCCCCTAGCGACCAATCTTGCCTTGTATCTCTTCGACACCACTCCTTCAATCCCTTTCTTAACTTTAAAAATCTATTTACAGCTGACTAACCTGGCTCTAGTAGGTTTCTTGATCAGTTCCTAAGTGTTGTTATCATGAAGAGATTTCATCTCATCATCCATGGCCTTCATCTATTCAGTCTTCTTTCGACTCCTCATAACTTCCATATAGTCTCTAGGTTCTTCATCTAGAACCTCACTTACAGAGATTAAGGCATAAGCTATAAGATCTATACACCCAAGTCTCTGAGGTGGCTTGATGACTCTCCTCGACCTGACTCTTACTAGAAGGTAGTCATTATCAGTCTTCTAATCTTCGACACCATCTTCTGCGTCTTCTTCGACTTCATCTGGGATACACAATTCAACATCAACATGCTCCACCTCAACAGGAATCTCTCTCTGTTCCAGTTCTTCGTCAGCATCATCAGTTTTCTTGAAAGCCATCTCTGCTTCATTGAAAACTACATCTCAATTGGTGATACACCTCTTGTGACCCGGATCTAGGCATCATATCCTATAAGCTTTGACTCCTTCAGGGTATCCCATGAGCATGCATTTCAGAGCTCTAGGTTTGACCTTGTCTTGCCTAATATGAGCATAGGCCACACAACCAAATAATCTCAGTCTGTCAAGATTAGGTGGATGTCCCGACCAAACTTCTTCAGGTGTTTTCATTCCTAAGGCAGTCGAGGGACATCTATTTATCAAATAGGTTGTTGTTGAAACAGCCTCCACCCAAAACACCTTCTTCAATCCAACACTAACCAACATGCATCTAACCATTTCAAGGATTGTTCAATTGAATCTCTCAGCTAAACCATTTTGTTGAGGAGTACCTACTACAATCTTATACCTTGCAATCCTAGACTCAACACAGTAACTGTCGAACACTTTGTTGCAGAACTCAAGGCCATTGTCGGTTCTCAACCTCTTAACCTTTCTTCCAGTTTGAGTTTCGACTAGAATCTTCCAACTTTTGAAATTCTCAAAACTTTCATCCTTCGTCTTCTAGATGAATACCCATAGCTTTCTGGAATAGTCATCAATAATGGATAGAAAATACCTTGCACCTGAGTGTGAAGGATTTCTTACAGGCCCCCAAAGATCAGCATGAATGTAATCTTGAGATCCATGTGTTCTTTTCTTGCCTTTGTTAAACTTCGCCCTACAGGATCTACCAAATACACAAGATTCACAAAACTCTAACTTTTCGACTTTGTCACCTCATAGCAGGTTCTGCTTCCCCAATTCGATTAGGGCTCTTTCACTGACATGGCCCAATCTCATGTGCCATAATTCTGCCTTCAACACAGGTTTCATGGATGCAACATTTATCGAACCACTTACAACCTCAGCCTCAAGGGTATACAAGCCTTTTTTCTTCACGGCTCTCAAGACTTCCTTCGACCCCTTCATGACTCTTAGAGTACTTTTCTCTCCATGAAAAACATATCCCTTCCTGTTGAATTCACCAAGAGAAATCAAATTTCTCTTCAAGTCAGATACATACCTGACTTCAGTCAATAACCTTATTGACTCATCATGGAGCTTGAATCTCACAGATCCAATACCTGCAATTTTGCAAGATTTGTTATTTTCCAGCATCACCGATCCACCATCTTGAACATAGTTCCTCAAACAATTCTCAGTTTGGAGTCATGTGCCAAGTGCAACCTTAATCTATAATCCACTATTTTCTTGAGTCGCCACTTGAAACCACAAGAACATCAGATAAGTCGAAGTCATCTTGAACAATGGTTGCATTGACATTACCCTTACCTCTATGACCTTTCAGGCATTCAGGACACACCTTTCTTGTGTGACCATCCTTCTTACAGTGATAACATCGAATACCAGATGTTTTGAAACTTTAAGACTTCTACTGACTTTTGTCCTTCTTCTTGTCGAACTTACCATCCTTTCGCAAGAATTTTCCCTTAACGGTCAAACCTTCGCCCACCGTCGAAGGCTTATACTCCTTTCGTTCGTTTAAGTCCTTAGAATACAAAGTTAATTGAACTTCTTCAAAGCTCAGGGACTCCCTTCCATACAAGAGAGTTTCTTTGAAGTGAGCATGTGTTCTAGGCAAAGCACACAACGACAACAGTGCTTGATCTTCATCGTCGATCTTCACATCAATATTTTCAAGATCTAGAATCATCTTGTTGAACATATCTAACTGCTCAGCCAACACTTTGTCTTTACTCATCTTGAATGAATACAAAGCATGTTTCTGGTAGAGTCGATTCACCAGAGATTTGGTCATGTACAAACTTTCAAGTTTCACCCATAATCCCATGTTGTAGTCTCCTTTGATACATGTCGAAGAACCTTATCACCAAGGCTCAACAATATTGCGTTGTGGGCTTTCTCAATCATGGTCGTCTTTTCTTTTGCCGTTAACGCATCGTCTATGGCTGCCTCTCCATTTAACGCTTCCAAACAACCCTGCTGAACTAGTAGGACATTCATCTTCAAGCGCCACAGACCGGAATCGTTCACTCCGGTGAACTTTTTAATCTCATATTTTGTTGAAGGCATCTTCCCCACGCTCACCGCACCAATTTGTTGTGAATAGGATGTCTTGAGACAAAATATAAACGGTTTCTTTTATAGACAAGAAACACACAAGGGTTAGGGTTAACAAAGAAAACAAGGTAAAACAACAAGGATTGGTTACAAACTGCTATTTTTTCCTTTCTCTTTTGGAACAAGATTACAAGTATATAAGAATAACAAATAACCTCTCTCACTTGAATTAAGATTTTATCTTCCTCTTTTTTCTTATACAAGATGAGAGACTAGCATGCTATTTATAAGAAAAATAGCACACTAACCTAATAGGTTTTTTAACAATTACCCATTACAAGCAAATTTAGGGTACAAGTTAACTTAAACAATTGGGCTTACAAGTAAGGCCCAATTCAACATGCTAATAAACCTAGCAATATTGACTAATGCATGTTAGAATAAATTTCGACTACAACATACATTACTCCGACAACATATTAGAGTTTTATCCAATATCTCACAAATTTGATTATTAAGATGTTAGTGGAACATAAAAATGGTGGGAAAAAAAACTATTATCATAAAGATGTTTATGTTTAGAAAGCAGAAGTTAAAAATAATATAAAGAGTATGAAGTGTTGTATTGTGTTTAGAAAGAGAAATGAGAGATGAAAAGAATTGTAAGTGAGAGAAGAAAATAAATAAAAAGTATATGAATGAAAAGTAATATACAATAATGAAGGACACGTGAAGATCAAGATAAATTTGAAAGAAATTGAATTAAATAACATTATTTGTGCATACTAGCACAATAGCACACTATTAATTTCAGACTAATATCACTTTTTTCAGTCGGATGCGGGTAGGGCTGGCAATGAACCAAACCAACTCGAAGATAGTTCGGAATTCGACTCGACAATTAAATCGTTGAACTAGGTTCATGAACCAAATGAGTTGAGTATGAGCGAAAAATTAAGTTCGTTAACTAAATGAGCTGAACTTGAACTATACATAGTTCGACTCGTTAGGTTCATGAGTCAACTCGATTACATATGAAAAGAATTATACTGTCTTTAAGATTAGTTTTAAATATTTACTTCAAATCTTAGACAAATTTAATCTTAAATTTAGTAGTTTTTGAATTAGACTCTCAAATGTATCTCTTGAAAGTTGTGTAGGTTTTGAATTAGTAGATTTCAAAGATAAAGTTAAATTTCAATATGATAACTTTTATTTTATTTAAAATATATATATTTATTTAAAATGTCAAATATACTAAAAATATATATATATTTAAAAAAATAGTTTTTAAGTTCGTGAACCACGTGAGATGAACCTAATGAGATGAACCTAACGAGTCGAACCGAACTGTTCGTGAACTTATAACGAGTCGAGTTTGAGCTTAAAAAAAAGTTCGTGTCGAACTCGAACTCGAACAATTCTTAACGAGTCGAGCCGAGCTGAGGTGAGTTCGACTCGACTCGACTCATTTCCAGCCCTAGATGCGGGTTTCTTTAGATTAATTTTCAACTTATGAACCCAACCACAACAACTCATTGGAACTATCAAATTCTCCAGTTTTTTCAACCGACACCCACCCATATGTACCCGTCCGTTTCAATAAACACCTGATCGAACATGACGGGTTTTGGGTGGGTCCTGGATTTTTTTTTCCACCCCTAAGGAAAAGTGTGGCGATAATTATGCTTTTATGAGATTCTTATACAATTTTGTGCTAGGTCAGATATAGGTGTGAGAAAAAAAAGAAATGGATATAGCTGTTACAATAGAGATGGAATTTAGAAGCTTGAATTTGTGTACATTTTTATAGTACTACAGCACCCCATCCTATCCTATGTGTTATGCTGCTGTATCACTTCATAAAAACAGATACTATATATGTTGGTGATCTAATACAAAAATATAAGATGCTGAAAATATTATTTAATGCAGAAAATAACAAACAACATTATTTAGGCCACATATAAATACATAGCATATTATTACACCACACAGAAACAAGTTCATAACCCAAAATAAGATAACACCATACAAATTATCTTGAGCAGTTGAATTATGATAAGAAGCACTTATTTTTTAGGATCATGATCATCCTCCACCTTCTCCTTCTCCTTCTTCTTCTCCTTCTCTTCCTCATCCTTCTCCTTCTTCTTCTCCTTCTCTTCCTCATCCTTCCTAAAAAGTTTATGATGAATATGCTGAGCAAAAGTTCTCGGCGGAAAACGTGCTGGTTCAGTTTCAGTAACAAGTTCAGGAAGTGGCTTAAGAATAATCTTCTCCTTAGGTGGTTCACAAAACACAGCCCAAGAAATTCTAACTTTTTCCTTATTCACCAATCCACGATGAAGAATACTCTTGTATTTTCCATTGCTGAGAATCTCAATTGTGTCACCAATATGCATCAGAATTGAACCAGGTACACATTTTGCAGTGATCCATTTTCCTTCATAGAAAAGTTGCAAACCTGGCACCATGTTATGGAGGAGGAAGGTCAGTGAGCTTACATCAGTATGCGCTTCGACTCCAAGTGCTAGCTCTGGTTGAGGACAAATTGGGTAGTAATTGATTTTCATTTGGAGTAAAAGCTCTTCTTTTCCACCAACTTCTTGCTCTAATCTTCCTCCTTCTAACCCTAATTCAAGAGATAATACTTCCATTATCTTGCTGGCTAGGGTTCTTAGTTCCTTTGCATATTCAAGTGTAACCTCACTGCAGCCATGAAAAAAATAGTAAATTGCGTGTAGATTACTATGTATGACTAAATTATTTTATTGACACCATGAATACGAAAAAAAAATTATTTTATTGAATTTTTAATGAAATTACTGTATTTTAAAAGTATTAAAATATATGAGTTTGTATGAATATTGAGTGAAGAATATGTATTTCTTTTGATCACTAATATAAATAAGATTTGATTTTTAAATTTATTGAATATCCGATATATTTGATCTATAGATTCATCTACATTCAATATATATATAAGATGAGAAAGAAGAAGAAGAAGAAACTAACGTATAATGAGCAGGTGTCTTAGGCCAGACAGAGAAATCACACTTATCTTGTGGAAAAATGAGATGAAAGAAATAATCTTCCCATTCAAGTTGGCCACTAGCATTATTAGCCAACTTACTTCCATACCCTTGAATCCTCCCAGCACTTTGATCATTTGCATATTTCTCTTTCTCTTCAACTGGCAACTCAAAAAACGTCGCTCCGGCTTTCTTCAACCTCTCCAGCAACTCATCAGATATTCCATGGTTCACCAGATTCATCACCCCCCATTCCTCTGCAGCTTTCCTCAACTTGAACCTGCATTTCTTTCTCACTGTTTCATCTGAAGAGTTTATCTCCTTTATATCAATCGTTGGAACTTGTGGACCTTCTTCCTTTTTCTCTTCCTCGAAGATGTTTCCTATGTTTGTTAACTCTTCTTTTGGTCTCACGTATTCCTTTGGGATGGATGTTACTCCACTCAGAGATAAGCTTTCAACTCTTTGAGCCATTGTTCCCATCTTTACAAAACTACAATATTATTTTTATTTTCTATGCTTGTAATAACTTGTAACTTGTATATTTATATTTTCTCTACTCTTTCTCTCTTGTATTTATATATATTTGCTGATATCATATATGTGCCTAACCACGTTTACTTCACTTTCAACTCAGAATGACAGGTTAATATTGTGGAACATAAGGTGTGATTAATTTTTAATATTTCTGTAACAAATTTATTAAGTTGGTTAATAATGATGGTTAACACGTGATGAGTGAACACTGAACTGAACACTCAACGTGAATTGTGTAGGTTAGTTGAAAGGTAGTTAAACCAAACTACTTTGTACTATGTATTCTTAACTTAACGGTCTATCACAACCTCCAATCAATGCATAATGTAGGAAATGGATCCAAGTCTACTTGTGGGTTGTGGCTAAATCAAGTTTTCAATTATTAAAGGGTGAAGATATTTATTATTTGAATCTAATAAAATACACTATACTTCTGGGATTTAAGCCTATATAATCAATTAAAAAAATACTATTTAAGTAATATTTTCATTTTAACAAGAGAAATGATATTTTTACACCATCTTCTACCTTTACATCGTATTTTACTATTTATCAATATGGTAAATAGTAAAATATTATAAAATTAAATATATTTTTAATTTTATTTTTATTTTTAAATTAAATGATACTGATATTAAATTGTGTGATTAATCAACTTCATAAAATCACTAACCAATATTTTACATATTATTAACCAACTTTGTTTACTGATAAAAATTATTTTAATATCTGAAAATTTATTAACCAACTACATAACTTCAATAATCAACTTTCTACTTTTCATTAATCAATTTTGTTTTACTACTAAAACTATTTTTAATTTTGGACGTTTATTAATCAATTTCATCACTTCATTAACATATTTTTTATACTTTATTAACCAAATTTATTTCATAACTTAAACAACTATTCACGGATACTGTTTGTGAACCACTGTTCATGGTACTGTTAATAATACTGTTCATGAATATATTTTTTTATTAAAAAATACATTATTCACCGTATAAATACGGTGAATAATATATACAGTGTAAATTTACTGTAACATAGGGATGTATGAATAACATTGTTGTTTTAACAAAAAAAAATAGCATTTTTTTTGTTGAAGACACAACTTTATTGATTATTCAATTCTACAAAATCTTACTTTGAAGTATCACTAGGCTGTTGATTTGGTTTTGTTGACAAATAAATAAAATTTGACATCGTACAACTAGGTTGGTGCCTTATTTATTAATTTGACAAGTTGTTTTTATAAGCTAACAAATGCAATCATTAGGCATAGGTGTACACCGAACCACTGCGACAAGATAGAACAAGCACAAACAAATCTCCAAATGAAGATGAAGACCAAACGACTACAAGAGACCCTACTTCAAAAAGTCGAAAGGAGACGTATACCAATCATAGAAGTTACATTTACGAGAAGATTTGGATCTATACCCCAACTAAAACCAAGAGGTTTGAATTACTCTCAATGGGATATCCTCAAGATTACCGGTCAAACGGTTGAACATGATTGGTTCCTTGCCCACCAAATTGACCAACCCGTAACGATCCAAATATAACAAGTCGACGATTTGGATGATTTCTACACCCATTTTACAAACCATTCTAAAAAGTGATATTGCACATTTGACTCCTCCATCCAAGCAATGCTCACCCAATCAGCAACCTTACGCTAAATCATTTGAATGCACGGGCACGTACACATTATATGGTTGGAATCTTCCACCGCATTGAAATAAAAGATGCAAACGGTATCATGAGGATCGAAGATTATTCCCCTGGCCAAAAGATTTGCTCTTGTAGGAATTCTACCCCAAACAACACGTAATATATATATATATATATATATATATATATATATATATATATATATATATATATATATATATATATATATATATATATATATATATATATATATATATATATATATATAAGGCATTAAGATCGAATATAGAAAAAATAGAGACGAGTTAAAGCACATGAGGTACTAAAAACCAACTCAAAGAAGAATTAGAAAGAAAAACAAGTTTGAACAAGCCCAAATTTGCACACCTGCAATATAATGTGGAAGAGGAGGAATATGTTAGATTCACCAAAGCTTTTGTGAGAGTTGGTGTTATAGGTTGGTTCAACAAATAACGTCCAATAAGCGCTGCATGAATATGGGTGTTTTAGTATCAAGGCTACACCTTTGTGAGCCAACTTATGTATCTTAGAGGAAGCTGAGGAATGATCTCTTATATCTTTGATTTAGGAAGATAGGAACTGGGTTTCCAATTAGTTTTTCGATATCAACTCGTGGTCTCCAGGTGACATCGATAAGGAGAGATTGACCTGCCTCCAATGCTATGGATTGCCTTGCCACGTCTGGGGCCATAAGTTCTTTCGTTTTATTTCGAGTTTGGTAGAGGAATATGTCTGCCCCAATGAAGAAACAGAGAAGCTTCAGAAACTGGATGTTGCTAGATTCCTTATTAAGACTAAATATTCCATTAATCTCAACGAGGTTTTTAATGTTGATATTAACAATAGAGTATATATGGTGAAAATAGTGGAGGATATGCGTGGACCTAAAAGATTGACTGTTCCTAAGGGATGTTATGATCATGGTTCTCAAACTCAAGGGTAGACTCGTAAACTCGTACGAGTTTACGAGTCTAGGAAGTAAAAACGAGTAAACCCACACATAGAATCTTTTTTTGATAGACTCGAGTCGGCTCGAGTAGACTCGCATAAAGTCATATAGACTTGCGAGTCTATGCTAAGTTTACGAGTCTATAAGTTTTTCTAACTTTAAAAAAAAAACCAAAAAGGCCCAAGTTCTCCAAAAAAAATCCTTATCTTTTTTGCTTATATGAGAATTTGAAAGTATCTCTCTCCTCTTTCAGCAAAGTTTCTTCCTCCCTTTCTCGACAGTATGGTTTCATTTGTCAGTTTCTTGTTTTGTTCGCATTTGTTGCTGGTGCTAGTGGGATTATACCTGAGTGAATCGCACACTCAAAGATACAACAGAGTTGCCACCGAACTTTATTTAGTCCCAAAGAATAGGGAAAATATTGATAAAACCCAAGGGAAGAGAAACGGGAAAGGGGGTCGGTTATGCGAAAGGAAGGTACTAGCACCTTAAGCATCTGTCGTACCTGATAGGAACCACTTCGCTCGCTTCTAGGCTTGGATAGGTTATCTATCTAAAGGCTTCTAGCTAAAAAGAGAAAAAGAAAAAGAAAGAAAAGAAAGTGATTGTGAAGGATTGGGGACCTCGTGCCTACGTACCCTCATAGTGCAATGAGGAAGTCAGATCTCTGTAGTTCAAGGAACTAAGAAAAAGAAGAGGATCTGGACGGACCAGAGACACAAAAGAAGGGAAGAAGACGGAGGAAGGTGGCTTGCCAAGATTTCGCAATCTTGTGCCTACGTACCCTCATAGTGCAATGATAAAATCAAAGCCTACGTAGTTCAGGGAACTAACGCTGAAAAAGAAAAGGGAAAGAGACGGCGTCAAAGCCAAGAAATAAAAGAGAAAGCAAGATCCAACTAGGGAATGCAAAAGGAATGGTGCCAAAACCAAGAAAAAAAAAGCAAAGGAAAACTATGCTAAGGAAAGATGAGGCAAGGTAAGAACTCTGTCGAGGAATACAGAGGAAAAGAGATGACTCCACTGGGGAGAAAACGAAAGAATGGCGACGTGGCCGGGGAAAAAAGGAGTAAAGGAAAAGAATCAAAATAAAGGTAAGACTCATGGGGGACTCGGTGCGTTAACTAGTAAGTAGTGATTAACCGAAGAAAGATAAGAGTAAAACTTTGTGGGGGAGGGGAGCAAAAAGGTTGGTGTCAACAGAAGGACTGCGATGAACCAGGAGAAAGAAAGTATTGAACCAAAGGGAGATGTTTGACTCTGAGGGGAATTTGATATATTAACTGATCAATAGTGGTTAACAGGAAGAAGAAAGGAGTTGGTTTTAATCGATAAATGGTGATTAACCAAGAGACATGTGTGGAACCAAGAAAAGGTTGTGACCCAAAGAATGGGTGTGGAACCAAGCGACGGTTGTGACCCAAAGAATGGCACATTGACTGAACAAACAGCAATTGACCAAAGGAGAGGGTATTCGAATCGAATAAATATTACTAACCAAAAGCTGGCAGTATTTGAATCAAATAAAGGTTGCTAACTGCAGGGGGTTCGGTGCTTAACAGACGGATTGTGATTAACTGAAAAGAATGAGTGATTAACCAAGAGAAGGTGATTAACTCAAAAGAAACTCAGTATCTTAACAAACGGACTGTAGTTGACTGAAAAAAGAGTGATTGGTTCAAACAGGCGGACTATGATTGACCAAAAGGCGGACGATTAACCATGAGAAGGTGATTAACTCAAAAGAAACTCAGTATCTTAACAAAAGGACTATGGTTAACTGAAAAAAGGAGTGATTGGTTCAAACAAGCGGACTATGATTGACCAAATAGCGAGTGTTTAACCAAGAAAATGTGATTAACCCAAAGAAAAAGCTGGTTTTAACGGGCGGACCGTGATCAACCAAAGATTGGGTGATTAGCTAGAAGAAGGCAATTAACCCAAAGAAAATTCAGTATTAACAGACGGACTGTGATTAACTGAGGAAAAAAGGAGTGGTGTTTAACTGACAGGTAGTGATTAACCAAACAAGAAGAAGAGAGAACCAAGAAAATGTTGTGAACTCCAATGGGGATTAGGTTTTAACATGATTAGTGTGTTAACCAAAGAAGAAAGACTGGCTTCGTTGGGGAAGAAGAGAATTGGCTTTAACCAAAGAACGGTTGAATAGCCAAGGAAAAAAGTGATTACAAAAATCTGGGAACCAAGAATGGATTAGCCTCACGAGAAAAGAGTGTTGAATTGAAATGAGGAAGTCACTTCCAAAGAGGAAATAAGGGTGCAAGTGATCAAAGATCGA